CTTGTATCACCACCTAATAATACCTATGCATATCGAGCATACATGGAAACCCTTTTAAACTATGCCCCTGCTGCTAAACAATCTCATCTTACTTGTAGTCTTTGATATGAGGATACAGCAGGAAAAATGGATTCTACAGATGGTAAAAACATAGGATTTGTTAAAAGACAGGAATTGATTAGTGAAAGTAAGGAAATAGAAATGATTGGTCATCTTCACGGTGACATTTTTAACCAAGATAAATTTTTAATTAATGGTGTTGAAATGAGTGTTAAATTGGTTCGATCAAGAGAGAGTTTTAATTTAATTGTTGGGTCAAACGATGTAAAGTTTAAAGTTTATACGCAACTCTTATTGTTCGACGAGCACGAATTAATCCAAGTGTATTACTCGCACATCAAAAAGTTTTAGCTTCTACCACTGCTAAATATCCTATTACTCGAGCTGAAGTAAAAGTTTTAACAATTCCTTCGGGTGTTGAAGGAAAAACTCTTAATAATATATTTTTAGGACAGGTACCGAAAAGATGTATAATTGGATTTGTGAACAATTCTGCATTTAATGGTTCCCTTACTAAAAATCCATTTAACTTTGAAAACTATGGTATTAATTCTTTCAGCTTATATATTGATGGTCAACAAATACCTTCAAAAGCTTTGCAACCATCTTTTAATAATAGCATATTTACATCAGCATATCATACTCTATTCTCGGGAACTGGTATTCACTTTCTTAATGAAGGAAATGGAATCTCTTGTGAACAGTATGGCAAAGGTTACTGTCTATTAGCATTTGACTTAACTCCTGATTTATCAGCTAACTCATCAACTCATTGGAATCTCATAAAGCATGGTAGTGTAAGAATAGAAGTATGATTTGAATCCTCATTAATACAAACAATTAACTGTATAGTTTATGCTGAGTTTGATAATATTATTGAGATAGATAAAAACAGAAATGTTACTGTATACTATAGTAGTTAAGGTTATAATATGTGTTGTGTGTTAGATTTTATGTGTTATGAGTAATGCCTTTTGTGTGTATGTAACTATGTGAAACGTTATAAAATTAAATAAAACAAATTGTATGCAATATATTTTTTTTTATTTCTTTATAAATCTTCTATTTAATCTAATACAAAACACTGTTCGAGTTGAAATTTTACATAAGCACACTGACTAAACCACTGAACATGCTGCTGCCAAGGATCATCATCATCTTCCCAATCTTTTAAACCACCACCACAATGGAAACATTTGGTCCCGTCTGCATGGCCAGTATAAAAGAAACCAGGTTCTGCAAGATCTTCAGGTTTCTGTCGCATAACGAGAGGCCAGTTTTCGAAACTAAGCAAACGGCTAGATTTTGAACTGAAGAATGGATATTCAGCTCTTGAGTACTGCATACTCTTCTCGTTTTCTTCTCCACTCAGAGTTGTAGTTTTGTTATTCAATGATGTGTTTTGTACACGTATGCCACACTCATCTCTTCCTTCCGCTCTTGTCTTCCTGTAATTGAAGTAAACAGAATCACATGCACTAATGATCAGCTAATGACTGTCATTGTTAAAAAAGTATTTTTTAACTTTTTCACTTTCTGCTATTGTCTTTGTTATATTGTATACGAGGGCGTTTGTGTTGTCGTAGATGCTATCCTTATTAGTCTTTACGTAATATTTAATTCTCGTGGAAGCATGTTTCCAATGATCAGTAGTTGGAATCTTGGATAGCTTCTTCATATCGTACATTTCAATTTTGATGAGATGCGTCGCTTGGTCTCCGTCGTCAGAATTAGTAGAAATGTATGATACACCATCTCTAGCGGCTCGTGCTACGGTTGATGATAACAGCTTCCTCTTTTTTATTTTTGATTCAGCTTCAAAAAAATGATCAATCGATTGCGATTTTCTTTTTCCACCATCGCATGTGTTATTATTAATGACGAGGTCATCACTCTCTTCTTGAGGGGAGAGTGGCGAGTAGTAATACTGTTTATAGGTATCTTCATCGAAGCTCAATGATTTCTGCAACAACACAGTTATCATGTTAATATCAATTTGTTAACACTTAATCATAAAAGTTAAAAAAGTTAAAGTTACAGCCTATTAAAGTCCACTGCTGAACATAGGCCTCCTCTCATTTCTGAGAGGGTTTTAGAGCAAGGAAATGTCCGCCGCGCTCCCTCAATGTGTGTTGGCGAACTTCACATGCCTTCGAAATTTTCTCAGACATGCAGATTTCCTCACGATGTTTTCCTTCACCACCAAGCACGTGGTAATAAGCACTTAAAATTGCTATTAACAATTTAATTGGTGCTGGCGGGGATCGAACCCGGGTCGCGTACTGTGAAATTTACAGCTAGCGCTAACCATCTGAGTTACCACGGCTTAATCATATACATACACAATATTTAAATAAAATAATACACACACATGAAAATAACAGAAAAAAAGTAATTTAGTCAATAGAATAAACACTTACATCCATAGCCTTTGGTGTATTGAAGTAACACAAATGTACTATTGATAGATCCACTGTAGCCAAACGACCGTACACTAACTCGATGACTGCGTTTGTTGGTCTTATATACCACCAGTACGTAAAAATTCTAATCTAAAGTATTTCCGTAATGAGTTGATAATTACTTTATGCGTCAACCAGTTTATCTCACATTTCCGTTGCCTATCTCAACATTTCTTCGTATTGTGTTTTGTTTGGTGATCAATGACTCAAGTACGATTTGTATAACACAAAAATGCAATTTAATATTTAGAAACATATCAGTTTATCTCACATTTCCGTTGCCTATCTCAACATTTCTTCGTATTGTGTTTTGTTTGGTGATCAATGACTCAAGTACGATTTGTATAACACAAAAATGCAATTTAATATGTAGAAATCACTATAATTGACCATTCCTATGTTATTCATTGAGTAGCTAGGTACTGTAATAATCTACTAATAGCAGTAATATCATGGATACACTAGATGTACAACAACATCTGAAAAAGATTCACCCCAGTCTAGAAAATAATGTCTATGCAGCTAATAGACTGCCTATGTATACCCACGTACCAACGTATATAATATGTAATTTGGATACAGATGATAAACCAGGGTCACATTGGGTAGCTTTATATATCGATACGAATGACGTCGGTCAATATTTTGATTCATATGGACGATCACCTGTACGATATCATCTAGAGTTTTTAAAAAGGAATTGTAAAAGATGGAACTGGAATGTTGATAGGATTCAGAATGAGTGGACTTCAGTTTGTGGCGAATATTGCTTAATGTATTTGCTATATAAGTTTCAAGGATGTTCAATACATAGTTTTACGAGTATATTTACAAGGAACACATTGTACAACGATATTTTAGTGGATGAGATGTTTCGCTCCTATTTTATAGATAATAATTAATAAGATTTTGTATTTTATAAATAAAAATTGTAACAAAATTATGTAATGTGTTTTATTGATGATTCAGATTAGCGTTGTATAAACAAAGAATTATAATACAATAGCACTGATATAGTCGACGCACACGCTGCAATGAAGGTGATTAAGGAACAATAGAACAATAGAAATAGGAACAATGGGACGCTAATGACGGTGGAGACCCTTACCGGATATCAATTAGATATTAGCTAATTGATCTACACATCTCCGGAACCGTGCATTCTATACAAAAATGGACCGCGGATTCGTGATCAGAGCATGCCAAAACCTTTTTTTTTTTTTTAGGATCGGGCGTCGACGAACGTCGTTGAACCACGTCTGACTCAGGTGGTCTAGAAGTGGTACAACTACACTACTCTCGTCATTGCCCTAGCGAGGCAGTTATGCGTGAACATCGTTGGTAGAAGGCAGTCTAGCGTGACTGCTAATCATGTAGTCCTGAGGTCGAATGCCGTGTCAGAGAAAAATCAGTTATGAGATGTATAAGAAATTCTTAGTAGATGTCCGGAGTTAGGGGGCTGGCGCTGTTTCAGCCCTGAAAAGTAATTAAAGTCGTTTGTCCAGCTCCTAATGTCGCTCCGGTCGTGTCGGATCGCCATATCATCGCACTTGAAAGAGTCAGGGAATAGAGAGTGAACCTGTGTGTGTTAGCACGCACACTCGTGCCCTATAATCCTGTTCTGCGCAGATCTCCGGACTTGCCGCCGTGACCAAAATACGGTCTGAAAGACATTCACTACTTACTGATAAAGTTAATTCCATTTGTTGGATAATTATATATCTGCTTCTGTTTCCCACACCATTTAATGAAAGATACATGTATCGTTTTTAACAAATCAAGGTTTTTATTTCGGAAAATAAAATATACGCAAAGCTTCATTATCTGGTAGTCATAGAGTGTAGGTTTTAAAAGGGCGGCAAAGCACTTGCGATCCTCCTGGTGTTGCAGATGTTCATGGGCGACGGTCAACACTTACCATCAAGTGAGCTGCATGCTCATTTGCCCATTCTTCTATAAAAAAAGAATGTGGTCGTTACGTAGGAAATTTTGGACAAGCAATTTGACTTCTGTTTTACCAAAACTGAGCGAGCCTGTATTTCGTCTCTATGGGATATATGCTTGATGTGTCAATAGTACGAGAGGCATATATATACACGATGTGTTCAGTAGTAGACACGATATTGCAAAAAGCCATATTATAAGTGTAAGTACGTACATACGTCCTGAACATTTAATATAAAGTTGCTATATTGCACTGTAACTGTATTAGGAAAATAAATCTAAAGAACGGTTATAAAAATACATATGTTTATTTGAAATGAAATACACCTACTATTTACATAATTTTAAATGGAACGAAAATATCGAAATATGTAGTCATACAAAAACTTAAACCTTTTTCTGCCTTGATTTTTAGCATGAAAGAATATATCAAAAATGACCAATGGACAGATACACGAATTTATAATACTTCGTAATCAGGTACCTACTATTTATTCAGTACTTATAACATATTAATCTATGCTATTTATTATTCTACTGTTTTTTCTTCTTTTTAGCGAGTGTTGTCAGAATTGAAGTCATAGTTGTTGTGATCGTGGCAGGTTCTAGTGTAGTGGTTGTATCGTTAACGTAAGCCCTCTCCTCAAATTGCATTCCACCGTGGTTGTCGTCAGGAATACTTATTTGGAATTGAAGTAATACCACTAAGTATGTAACCATTGTAGCTAAAAGCTAAATAAACATTATTTATAAAGTAAAAGAAATATTACGTATTTTGGAATTATGGCATAACAATTCTGTATCTGTTCTTATCATCGAGCAACACGGTCTTCCGTCGGATCGGAGGGGAGTAGTCATACGCAGAGGTTCCCCTCTGTCAAAGTAAAGTTCATGCGATCCTATGCATACAATAAAACTAGTTGCAGTCGCACTGTTCACTAAATTAAATCTAGTTGCGCGGCTGAAACGACGTTCTACATAAAAGCCAAATTGTTCAGTTTTTTGTCGCAAATAAGATCTACCACGTCAAATTTACAAAAAGATATCTTACATATATTATAAGTAATTATTAATAAAATTATTGTTATTATTACTTTTAAGCTTATGAAATTACAAAAATACCGATCGTGTTATTTCGTACTTGCTTACCAACACAGGCCGCTCGCTCTCATACCATATGTAGATCGGTCGAGCGACTGATCATAGTCTGTATTCCTGTTGTCGCGGTCACCGAGCGATACTTTGATATTGTATCTATGTGTGAAATTGTTATTTAATTATTTTAACTGTTATATGTGAGTTTCGTAGTGACAGACGATTGTCTTTGTCTTTGGCAACTCCCCTACGGTCCGCCGGTGGCTTATGTTGCTGTATGGTTCATAAACATGATTATGTGTATAAATAATTAATCATGATTGCATGTTGGGCATTTAGTTTGCATTATTTTTTATTTTAACGAATATAAGGTAAATCTTTAAAAGTCCCACAGCTGTGCACAAGCCTTGTTGCTTAGAGACTATTTGGAGCTAGGAAGATTCCGTCCTGGTGCCTCAATGCGTGTTGGTGAAGTTTTTAATAAATGCCCAATATATTTTTAATGAAAAAATATGCAGGGTTCTTGCGAAGATTTTCTTCATCGTCGGACTCATAATAAATCAGTACTAAAAATTTTGATTAACAATTTTAATTGTAATCATTGATCACAGTTAAGCAGCTATTTCACGCTGGTGTTCTGTGAGAGCGAGGTCCTTCCCCAGTCGAGCCGACGCATTCGTGCTACAATAATAGCTGCAGCGCAACTCTACCGCGTAAGAGAACTGTACCGTACTTTTGTATATATTGTAAGTATAAGAGTTAATAATGCCGCTGTGTAATGTCGGCGTAAGAATATCCACTAACCCATATAATTCCTTAAGTGGCGTAGGAGGCGACAGAGGAAAACTGAATCAGGAGATGGGCAACAGTATTTTCATAATTATAACCGGAAAAAATAAACTGTGGTTGCCAATCCACCTGCCAAACTTTGGCAATATCCTCCCTATGCGTGAATCTATGTGGAGGGCTATGTTCACCAGTGGATCTTTACTAGGCTGGAATGAAAGGAATGATAATCTTTAATTTGAATAGGTTGAGAAAATCGAGTGCCTTTGTAATTATTCGTACGCTTTTATGGCCCGTAAGAAGAATACTCGTATAAAATCAATTTTCGATTTTAACAAAAATTTTGTATAATAACTAAGTTATTATAAAATTAAACGTCAATTAAAATTAGTTCGGAGTCGATATTATTATTATATATTCGTTATTATTATTATTATATATTGCCGTGTAATGGCGGTTAAGAATATCCACTACCCCATATCTTCCCGTAGGTGTCGTAAAAGGCGACAAAGGGAAACAGGCAGGAGATGGGCAGCAGCATCTTCCTGATAACAGCAAAATTACAATAAAAAAACTGCGGTTGCCAACTCGCTCGCCAAGCGTGGCAACTGTGGCAAACACCTCCCAATTATGATGAGAGCAACAAAGAGACGGCCCCCAGTCCCCGGTGGCCCCGCTATTCCTGGCTACGGTGGCGACGATGGTAACGACGGGGCAGGGGGTGCTAAAAATCTCCAGTGGAGGTTCGGTTGCCACCTAAGACGACTCGACCTGGCAACATACAACGCACGCACCCTGAGGACTAACGAAAAGATCGTGGAGCTGGAAGAAGAGATAGACAAGGTACGCTGGCATATTATAGGATTATTCGAGGTTCAAAGAGAGGGGGAGGACACGGTAATCCTTGAATCCGGCAACTTGCTCTATCACCGGGAGGCCGACCATCTGTCCCAAGGAGGTGTCGGATTTATCGTCCACAAGTCTCTCGTTAACAACGTTGTAAAGATTAAGAGTGTGTCGACGAGGGTTGCGTACCTTATACTCAGAATCACCAAACGGTATTCGCTGAAGGTCATACAGGTTTACGCACCAACCTCGGTACACCCCGATGAGGAGGTGGAGGAAATGTATGAGGATATCTCTAGAGCCATACATTCCTCCAAAACCCACTATACGGTGTTAATGGGAGACTTCAATGCAAAACTAGGCACAAGAGAGAACGGTGAGCTGAAAGTAGGGAAATTTGGAATAGGGCAACGGAACCCAATTGGCCAGCAGCTGGCCGACTTCATGAAGAAAGAGGGACTCTTTATGATGAACTCTTTATTCCAGAAGCGGCCCCACAGGAAGTGGAGCTGATCGAGCCCCGACGGTTCGACAAAAAATGAGATTGACTTCATTATGACGACCAGACGACAACTGTTCAGTGATATCTCCGTGATCGCGAGGGTGAAAACTGGTCGCGATCACCGAATGGTTAGAGGCACACTGAACGTAAACGTTACGTTGTAGAGACCTCGTCTAATAAAGTCAACGCTCCGTCCCCCTCGTGCTCTGTTACAAAGTCCCGAAACCTTTCAGCTTGAGTTACAAAACCGTTTTCAGTGCCTAGAAGACTGCAATGAAGTGGACGATATGAATGACAAGCTCGTGGAAACTGTCCATGCGGTCGGAGCTAAGTTCTGCAAGACCCGCCGCAGAAGAGCACAAAAACTCTCCGATCACACTCTTAATCTCATGGCTATTAGACGGGAGATGAAGCTACATACTACACCAGATTTGACAGCATACAGGCAACTGAACAGACAGATCTCCAAATGCATGCGGCGGAACTTACGCAACTTCAATACAGCTTGTATTGAAGAAGCAATCAAGCGGAACCAAGGCTCCAGTCTTTGCCAGAGATCTGTCTGCCAGAAAGAGCCAATTGTCAAAGCTGACGACCGAGTGTGGCAGCATCGTTTCCGGGGCACCTGAGATTTTGAGTGAGATTGAGAGGTTCTAGGGGCAGCTGTACACGTCATCGTTGGAGCCACGCAAGTGTGAGTGACGATCCAAGAGCGAGTCTTATCCGACACTATTCCGAAGATATCCCGGACGTCAGTCTGAGCGAGATTAGAATGGCTCTCCAGCACCTTAAAAACGGCAAAGCCCCGGGCGAGGATGGAATTACAGCGGAGCTTTTGAAAGCGGGTGGAAAACCGGTACTTGAAGTCCTTCAGAAGCTCTTTAATTCCGTCCTCCATGATGGCACTACTCCGAAGGCGTGGAGCAGAAGTGCGGTGGTCTTGTTCTTCAAGAAAGGCGACAACGCTCTTTTCAAGAACTGCAGACCGATTTCACTTCTGAGCCGCGTCTACGTGCTGTTTTCGAGAGTCATTACGAATCGTCTCGCACGCAGAATTGACGACTTCCAGCCTCCGGAACAAGCCGGTTTCCGAAAAGACTTTAGTACCATAGACCATATACATACTCTGCGGCAGATTGTACAGAAGACAGAGGAGTATAATCTGCCACTTTGCCTTGCGTATGTGGACTATGAGAAAGCCTTTGATTCCGTCGAAATTTGGGCGGTGCTGCAGTCCCTTCAGCGATGACAAGTTGACTGTCGGTATCTCGAAGTGCTGACGTGTTTGTACAGTAGGGCTACGATGGCTCTCTGAGTACAGAATCAGAGTACGAAACCTATCCAACTGCCGAGAGGTAAGACAGGGTGATGTTATATCTCCGAAACTCTTCACCGCTGCATTGGAAGACGTTTTCAAGCTCTAGACTGGAAAGGATACGGTATTAACATTATTGGCGAATTCATCACTCACCTTCGATTTACCGATGATATAGTTCTTATGGCAGAATCGCTGGAGGACCTAAGCACTATGCTCAATGACCTCAATAGTGTCTCCCAACGGATAGGTCTTAAGATGAACATGGACACAACAAAGATCATGTTTAATGTCCATGTCACACCTATGCCGGTAGTTGTTGAGAGCACTAAGCTCGAAGTTGTTGACGAGTATGTTTACCTGGGACAAATAGCCCGACTAGGTAAGTCCAACTTCGACCGAGAGGTCAAGCGACGGATTCAACTCGGCTGGGCAGCGTTCGAGAAACTACGACACATCTTCTCGTTAGACATACCTCAAAACCTAAAACGAAATTGTACAACCAGTGCGTGTTGCCAGTGATGGATGACTTACGGATCTGAGACGTGGTCCTTCACTGCTGGCCGTATGAGAAAGCTCAAGGTCGCTCAGCTCAAGGTCGCTCAGTGGGCTATGGAGAGGGCTATGCTCGGGGTTTCTCTGCGTGATTAACTTTTAAATGAGGATATCCGCAGTAGAACCAGAGTAACCGACATAGCCCAATGGATTAGTAAGCTGAAGTGGCAGTGGGCCGGCCTTATAGCTCGAAGAACCTACAACCGATGGGAAAGAAAGATTCACGAGTGGCAGCCTCGTACCGGGAGGCGAAGTGTAGGGCAATCCCCCACTAGATGAAGTGACGACCTGGTAAGACATGCAGGAAGTCGATGAATGCAGGTGGCTCAGTACCGTGCTTTGTGGCATTCCTTGGGGGAGGCCTATGTTCAGCAGTGGACTTATGAAAGGCTGTAATGATGATGATGACGATTATTATTATTAGTTTTCTATGAAATAAGTTAACTAAGACTAGAATTTAAAGATATGTTGAAATTTGGACTTTCAAATAGCGGATCAATCACAAAACTTCTAAATGGAAAGTTAGAACACTATGTTTATGAATCATTTGAAAGAAATATGTATGCAACATACCGATTTAAACAGATTTCTGTTGACATCAAAAAAGCCTCCGAGACTTATTTGTGAAGGATTCATTTCCGTGGCACGTAGAAACATGTTAACTTCAGTCTGTGCATCAGTATTCATCCAAGACAGCTCAACCATCAGCAGTTTTTTTTGAAAATTAGTCCGTACCTATAAATTTTGACAGTAAGAGTGTTAGTGAATTTAATTGTTACGCCAAAGGCTGCTCAAAGTTCCTGTTATATCACTTTGGGACTTAGGGACTTAGGGACCTTCAAGAAAAGAGCCTACTCCTTTTTAAAAGGCCGGCAACGCATCTGCAATTCCCCTGGTTCCTCTGGTGTTGCAGTTGTTCATGGGCGGCGATAGTTACTTACCATCAGGTGAGCCGCATGCTCGTTTGCCCCCACTACTATAAAAAAATATCAGAGCTACCATCACTTAACTTGTCGATGTCGGACAAAAACTTCAAAAGCCGTATTAAAAAGGTTTGGAGAACTCCAGTTCCACTTATTCAACGAGTATGAGACTTTAGTGACGTAGGCGTGCGGCCATTTGGACGTGGTCGATGAGTTGGTCTGTGTCCGCATTACTGCTATGGGACCTATACACGTAGACACGGGGATAGACGTCGCTATTTACGCGCAGTAAAAGGATGGACAGGTCCGTGTCTTTAAGTATGCCTAGACGTCGAGAAGAGATGTCCTCTCTGATGTATTCGCAAACACCAGTTCTAGTTTGTACTCCGGTTAGGAGAGATACGAAGTATCAGCCGGAGAGGACACATTCGTCACGGTTAGAACGAGCAAGGCTGGCTTCGCCATCTCCAGATTGAAGTGGATGGCGTTAAGGTCCGAATGAGGTCCTCTGATGTTGCAGAAATTCACGAATAGTGTGGCAGGGGTCGCCTTAGTCTTATTGCTCTGCTTGCCCCGAGTTGTAGGGTTTGAGTGGGATTTCGTACCCCCCTAGAATACGCGGGGCAGCTTGAGCACTCACGCTTAGGACGAGTAGGGTAACTCGAGCGTGGATGCGCAGCGAGGGATTCACCATAACCAGGCGTGGTGGTACCATCCTGGGGTAGTGTCTTATTTAATTCCGCTTAACCTCCGGCCACCTACAATTACCAGGCGAAACGCAGAAGTAAACTTCTACTTCACGCTAGTATTCTGTGAGCTTAAATATTTTATGTAAATTAAATAAAATTCTACATTTTAAAGCTATCAATTTTGCCTTTACTTATTTTAAACGAAGCTCTTAATTATTTTTCTCTCTTCCCAATTTTTGCTACAATAGATTGATCATTCAATTAATCGGGTATTCTCCCGTCTCAAAATATGTCACTTTTTGCATTCCTCTCTCGGACGGCCCCCGGGCGCTCTCAAAACTAGGACAAGTCCGGAGAAATCCGGACGGATGGCAGCCATGTGTCACACCAAGGACATAAACAGTAGTACATAAGTTCGTGAAAGTTAAAATTGTTACTCAAATTACTCAAAACCCCCTAATATAATATCGTATATGGTAGTAGATAGGATAGTAAATAGGATTATAGTATGGTAGTAGATAGCTCGTATAGTACTTATAAAGACAAAAAATTACGACGCGATCGCGGCGGCTACATTCAAGAGGAGTGCCGTGCCATATCTATGTACTCGTACATATATGCACTTGTACCGCTATTTTGATGGTTATGGGTATGTATTGATAGCGCATATTTTGATTAGTTTTTACTTTTAGTTTGCTGCACCTAGACTCCACCTTGATTTGTTGTGAACACCGTCTATTCTATGAATGTAAATATTTACCACTGGATGAAAAAATCCGTTTTGTTGTGTGCGGTTTTATACACCCAACCAGATAGGTTTTAAGTTTATTTATTGAGTCTATTTCGAGAGGCGTTAAATAATAAATTAATAAGGTTTTTATTGTAAATTAGCGACTCGCTCCGGCTTCGCTAAGATCTATTAATGTGGTGTCATTTAGATTTAGGATAATAATCAAAGACCATTTATTTTATCAATTTTTCGCTTTTTCAAAAATTTGCTAGCTTTTCAGATAAAATATGGCCTAAATCACTCCTGGCAGTGCTCTCTATATGTCTGTCAAGTTTCAATATAATCGGTTCAGTCATTCCGAAGATTAGACCGAACGGACAGACAAAATTAAAAAAAAAATATGGTTATTTATGTCTTAATAGCATGCAAACAAAAGACAGCGCAATAAAAGGTAAAAGTAGTTAGTTATTATTACAGACGGACACTTAATTTTTTTCTATATGTATGACATATTTTTGGATGTCTTTCTATTCTATGCTTTTTGCTTACATTCTGGGAGGCATAGTGGGCTTCATCGCAGATAAAAAATAACAAAAGTATTCCGCAAGTAGCTGTAAGTGCCAGTCCAATATCTTTTTCCCCGAATCCTTCGGAGATCTGGCTAAGTAGGCCGTAGATCGACAATGTGATAATTAAAAATAAATAGAGATTAACGAAAGTGAAAGTGTAGCAGTTGGCGATGCCCGTATCGCGGGTTAATTTACTCAAACGCAGCCAAAGCGCCCGATATTCAGCAACTTTCCCAGCTGGACCAATATGGCGGAGAGCCTGAAACAGAATGAATATTTTTATTATTTTGATGATAGTATATAATATTTACTACACTTTATGATATTTTACTATATTTTCTTTTTGACAGTTAATTAGAGCAGGTTCGTCTAACTAAGAGGGAGGAAAAAAGAAGTGCGGGCGCTAGCAATAAATAAATAGACAAAATTAGAGATTGTTATTAATTTACTAATTGAAACTAAATTTGAAACAAACTCATCTTGGGGTTATGTCACGTCATTATTACAGTGCAGTCGACATTTAGCTTAACTAAAGCAAATCACAGTAGATTTTGATCTATGTTTTTTTTTCACTTTGACGGGGTATTTGGTGGCTATTCCTTTACTACCAAATGCTTGCTGGAAGTGTCTGCCGCTGTAGGCAACAAGCGACCGAACACGGGACTCCGCGGGCTACTGCTAAACCATAACAACGCTGAAAATAAGGGACGTCCTGGATAGCATTCCGGTTAAGCTTTAGAGTCCTTGCATCCCAAATTTGGAATTGTGTGAATTATTTTTATTTTTTAAATAAAATATGCTGAAATCGATGCAATTTTCTAAACTGAAAGATGGGTTAGTAGCGTTCGTGCGGGCTGTAGAAGAGGTGGTAGAAGCGGACTAGAAAAAGTGTTTCCAGTCCGCCTCTACCACCTCTTCTACAGTCGCAGGAAACTTTGTTCAGTCGCAGAAAGATTTGTATAGACGCTGGTGGAGAGATTTATTTTGATAGAATAAGACAAACGGTCACACAATCTACCTGATGGATTTCAATACAAAGATTTTACGAATTACGAAGCTAGGTTGTATGCTCTTACCCAATTGTTTTTTTTATAAGGGTGACACACGAGGAAACAGTCTGCCTGATGGTAAATGTGGATGCTGTGTTCTTTAGACATCTACATCTATCCTTGATTAATAATCAAAATGCAGATGCTTTGTAACTCCTGAGGACTAAGATGGAATGCCTCGTTTTCAGTAAAAAGGGTCTCCACTACACGAAATATAATTTGCTATTTGATGCTGGTATTCTGTGAGAGCGTGGTCCTGTCCCGGTCGAGCTGACCTATTCATGCTACAACCATAATATAACTGCAGTATGGCTCTACCATATGAAGTTCACAAAACTTTCAGAGTGGCCCACGTATAATTCCAATTAATAGTTATAGTAGGTATATTACTGTCATTAGATTAATGTAAAATCTTTTTATTGCACGCCTCATAACGCGAAACGTTATTAGCTAGTGCTTTACACTCGACATGTCAAGGTCAAGCAGTTTTATGTTCTTAAAATGCCTCTGTCATAACATAATGCACTTATACGATAATATGAGTAGTACGTGTATAAAGAAAACACTCTAATTAATCCATATTTTGTTTTCTAAAAACACATTTTATATTGCTAATTTGAAAAACAAAACGGTCTAAAAAAAATTTACCTGGACGTCCGGATGTTGATTTTGTATGTGGTCACGATAACTCCCGAAAAAAATTACGTATCGAGAGCGGGTTTTATTTATTAGCTTCAGAATTACATCAACCGGTTCCCTATTTTATATCAATAGCCTAGTACACGTAGTTTGTTAATAAAATGATTTTCAACTTTTATAAGTTTTATTGCTATTAAACATTTAAAGGTGCTATCATATTTTTTAGCCCTTGATAGACAAAGTACAAAATGTACCATACAGCCTATATCGATTTTATACTTTGTGTAACTGATTTATTTTGGTAAAAATTATTAATTTTATTCCCTGTAGGTGACACTACCTGTTAAAATAATAGAGCTCTAAATTTCAAACACGTAAATAATATAATATTTTAAAGGTCAAGAATACAATTTATTTTTTTCATCAAAATTATGCTCATGAGGCGTGCACTTTTGGATTTTCCAAGCTACTTGTAAATGTATTTTATTTATACTTATTATTAAAAAAGTTCCATGTAATGGTGACATACAAACCACTACATGATGTAGGTATGTATGTCACTATATGTTATCAGACTCGATTAGGAGAAATACTAGGGAAATTTAAAATGCCATTCTAAATGGAACATAATTAAAGTGACGTCAAAAGTGTAATAAAACAATATTCCCTTGAGTTCGGAGAGGCCTATGTTCAGCAGTGAAATACTTAAAGAGAAGAGAGGCGGATAATGTTAGGGAATCTAGGACAGACGTACTTTAGAACTTAACTTTAATACAATAATATAGAGTAGCTTTTTGTTCGCGCGTATGATTGTGGCGCAATGAAACATTCCGTATTGATATATTATAATCTCATACATGTATGGAAAGCTGAATTTGAGGCTACGACATTTTTGTCTTTTTAATTACTTTTACTGCAGGTAACCTACAAACAATTAAAGAACACGTAACCACACAATAAATGATAGACATAATCTACATACTGAGACACAAAAATTTTACGTCTTACCTGTTGAAAGTCTTCTGCTAAAATTTTGGCGCAAATGCTAAGTGTTTCGCATAGCAAATACCAGTAGCCTCCTAAAATATATGTCAGTATCTCAAGAAACACATAGGGTATAATTTGTACCAATTTGAAGTCCACCATGGTCACGTGTGTTATGATAACGGAGGTTGTTGATAAAATTGGAATTATAACAGCGATGGTTAAAGACTTCTTGTAGAGATTTAAAGGTAACGCTTGCCCTGACAATTTTTTGTACGCCACCTAAATAAAGAAAGAGATAAAACAAGTTATGGGACAAGATTATGTATAAGCGCGTAAAAGTACAAGTACTGTCATAAAATTTATACTGCACTATATTTGTGACGGTAAAATGGATTGCTACAATCGGGAAGGACTACGTTTACATAAAACACTTTTATCTTTTATTAAACTTTGAGTAACAAACAAATATAAATATTTTTTTATAGGATAGGGTGACAAACGAGCACACAGTTCACCTAATGGTAAGTGGTTGCTGTGACCCATAGACATCTACATCTATCGTCAATAAAGACTCAAAATGCAGATGCGTCGTCACCCGTGAGGACTAAGCCGGAATGCCTTTTTCCTAGTAAAATGGGTCTCCGGTTCTCTACACTCACTATATGAATCACAGCAATATCAAGCTGCTATTTTACGCTGCTATTCTGTGAGAGCGTGGTTTTTCGCCGGTCGAGCCGACCCGTTCGTGCTACAAATATACTACTAATATACCTGCAGCATGGCTCTACCACGATTAAATTGTAATTATTCTAAGTGCGAGCCGTCTGGTAGTTCGATTTTCAATTCGTTTGCGAAGTGTTTTTCCTACACTGGGTGAGACTAATGTCTAACCGTGGACTTTATTGGCTGATGATGAATAAGAAGAAGAAAACGAAAAATAAAACTGTTTATTGAATTATATATTTAACTTCATCACCAACGTAGTACAACCATAAAATATTATGTAATCCAGAATTGCTCGCTCAATGTAGGGGATTATTATGCTGCTAGCTTAATGATTGCTTTGTAGACAAAGTTTTTTTAAGGTGTGACAAACAAGCACACAGTCCACCTGATGGTAAGTGGATGCTGTGACCCATAGATATCTACATTTATCCTCGATTAATAATCAAAATGCAGATGCGTTGTCACCCCTGAGGACTAAGATGGAATACCTTGTTTCCAGTAAAAAGAGTCTCCACTTCTCTATACTCACTATACGAAACACGGCAGCATTAAGCTGCTATTTTACAATGGTATTCTGTGAGTGTGTGGTCTTACCCCGGTCGAGTCGACCCGTTTGTGTTACAACCATAATATAGCTGCAGCGTGGTTCTACTATGTGTAAAGTACGCGTATTATTGGCAATTATTTGTAAACATACAATATGAAACATTTTTAAATAGGTTTACAAGTGGATCATCCATATCAAGAGTCCACGGCCCGTTTATGGCCTCTTCTTTACTTACTTGATGTCAATAGATCATAGTAAATTACACTCCAGAAAAATGTCTTATCTCAAACATGGACTCCGCAGCTTAAATACTTACAGCAGAAAAGTGATGAGAAATGGAAGAAAAGGTTTTTTAATTCTTTAGAAAATGGTTAATAAAAATCATACAATTTATAACAAATAATTATTTAGTTCTGGGCTTTCATGAAACATTCAAGGCAATATGGTTTGACGTAATCTTTGCAGACTTGAACATTTTTTGCATATTTTAAAGCTGCTTTCGGAGAATTGCTCAGTACTCTACGTATTTCGAACCATCCGCCACATCGCCATCTAATCCGTTTTTCATCTTACCTCACGAGTTCCTTAAGAAAGAGATTTGTTCGAGATGCAAAAGGCTGCAAAAGGCATGACTGAGATGCGTAGGAGTACGCTATGTAAATCCTTGTGACGTTGGTGTAATCGATATTTTTTATAAAATTGAAGTCAGTTCAAACAAGGCTACGGATGCGTCGTCATATACAACAATGAATATGGAATACCTTACACCCTGTAATTATACTTGCTCCTCTGTACTCATTAGATCTAGACAGAAATAGGAATGACAGTGGAACGGTAAGTTCACATGGACTCTTAGGCAGAAAAAGAGCCATACAATCAATAGGTTGTAGAACTTATAATTATTATAATTATTTTAGCGATAAATATTTTAATAATAAGTAACAAGTATAAATCAATCTAAAACAATAAATCAATGATAACAATAAAAATGAATGCTTACATAACATAAAATTTAATTAAATGTAGGAATTTATATGGCAATATATAGGGCGCGGGCAGCCATCGGGTTGAACAATATATAGAAGTGACGACTTAATCTCTGTTGACCCCAGGCTGTTTCACCTATCAACTCTTTCTTTAGAAACAATAAGAAAATAATTAAAAATTTTGTAAAACTGACTTCAATATAAATTATTAAGAATAACTCAAAAACATATATGGGACCACATGTGAAGCACCAGCTTTCAAATAAAAAAGAATCATCGAAATCGGTTCACCCAGTAAAAAGTTATGAAAGAAAAGTGATACATACGAGTATAAAAAAAACATACAGTCGAATTGAGTACCGTCACCTTTTAGAAGTCTGTAGAAAAATAAGAATCGATACTTTATTAATATTAATAAGTTTTTTCCTATGTTCAGATCAGTAAGATGATGATCAGCATTAGTAAGCTGAAGTGGAAATGGGCCAGCCATATAGCTTGAAGAATAGACAACCGATGGGAAAGAAATTTTCTCGAGCAGCAGCCTCGTACTGGTAGACGAAGTGTAGGGCGTACCCCCACTAGATGGAGTGACAAACAGGTAAGACACGCAGGAAGTCGATGGATGCAGATGGCTCAGGACCGTGCTTTGTGCCATTCCTTGGGGGAGGCCTATGTTCAGCAGTGGACTTGTGAAGGGCTGTAATTAATGAATGAATGAATTGATGATGAAGAATAAAATTTACTCCAGCTGCGCGTAATTGTTACAAGTTTTCATTATTTCTTTTTAAGAAGTAAGGTTGCCTATAGCAGCCAACCTTAGATCAATAATTACATTAGTATTAAAATCAAACTATAGATATACATATATGTTGCATAAATATAGGAATTAGGAAAAGTAAGTTAAGTAAAAATATATTGAAATAAACTATACCATAATATAACAAATTACCTCAAAATCAACCCATCCGTTGAGCACTCCCGCAATCTTTCCTGTTTCATACCACATTATTGGCACTACTATCATTGGAAATAAATATACCGTAAACAGATATTCAATAACGGCTTCCTCGAATTTGCCTTCAGCTGTGCGCAATATTTGAACTTTGTTCAAAGACAAATACACAACGTAGCCAACTAGTAGAAAGTAGACCATGGCTGAGTAAATCATAGAAATCGAAGTTATTTTAAACTGATTCACTCCACGAGATGATCTTGTTAATGGAAGTATACCCATTAGCCTTAATAATGTAAACACAGGTTTTATATTTTCATAAATAATATCCCTATAAATTTTAGTGTCAATTAAATTATTTATTAAAGGAACAATGGCGTACCGGGACGACTTAAAAGGCGTCCTCTCTGGAGTGACATCCAAAAATATTTTATTTTTTGATTTTTCTTCGACATGGGCTACGAAACTATTCGAAATGGATAAAGTTGTTGGATATAAATTTTTGTTACTAATGTAATAAGACATAATTTATACAATATACATGTAGCGTACGGCAATTCGTAAAAGTAGACCCGAACGAATTCAATTGTGCGGTAAGAATGGGAAAAAGGTTTTTAGTTTTGTAAGAGGTTGGCGCGAAGTAATATTTCAAAACTTGACAAGATGATTATAGGCGTAGGAAAAAGTGCCTTGACGTCTTTCGTTAATTTTTCAGGCGATCTTCACCTTCGAATAGCCTTCGGAGACCTTAGCAAGGTTGCACGCTTTACGCTTACGATCATCGTAGTCGATGACGAAGTATTGTTTTTTAAATTTTAAAGATTTTTCTTGACCATGACCAATTTGATATTTAAGTAATGACAATATTGCAGTAAAAAAAACTTGATAAGTATATCTGGCTATTAATTCGGCATTCAGCAATTCCTTTATTGTTAAGGCTGCTTCTCTGTAACTCCTTGCCCGAAAACTTCAGGAGAGCTCCTAATAAGAAAGTTTTTAAAAGACTCATTCGAGAACGCTTTTTGAAAACATTATTTTGATTTGTTTTGTTTAACCATTTTTGGTTAGTTAGTTAATAAGGCTTATAGTATAATTATTTACTTTAGGACATAATTAACGGTATCTGTCAAAAAATCAATAATTTTCTAACCAATGTTTCGAAATAAATGACTCGCACGTAACTGATTAAGGATCTGTTAGGAAATAATGTTATATAAACACTATAGTAACACACTATAGCAGTGTTATTTATATAATGTAGAATCCTAGTATGCGCACCGAAAGTGAAGCAAGTCAAACTATTTCTTATATTTACGCACACTACCTATTGAATAAAACTATTTTTTACGGATTTTATCGCGTTTAATTTACTATTTTAATTCCCGACGTTTCGGGTGCTTTACAGCAACCCATGGTCACGGGGGGGGGGGGGGGGGGGACAGAGATGTTTGACGTCCCGATGTCACAGTTAGCCCGGCTACCTTCAGTTTTTTAATATTAATTTTTGGTTCGATTTACGCAGAATGAACATACAGTATCTTGAAGTCTTGCAGTGGTATGCTTGGGTTTGGATTTAATTTTGTTAATTAGCTATATCAAGTCCTGTGCTAATATTTTAAACGCAGACTTCAATAATCCAACGTATTTTCTAAGTTTAAATGAAATATAATTGGTTCAAAGGCTGGAGAAAGTATGGAAAATTTAAAAAATGATGAAAATTTACCTCGTGCTGCTATTTCAGCTTTCTATAGAGTCTGCCAGGAGTTTTATATTGAATTGACATCAAACATTACCCAGCGATTTGATTTCGGGAATGCTTTATTTTCTATTATATCTGCTGCAAATCCATCAGAAGCTCAACAGTTTTAGTGTTTTATAAATTTCTGACCGCACAAAAATTAGTTGACGAGTGGTGAACTCACGCTTTGTTAGATTTTGATCAGCATGGGCTTGAAATATCATGGAGATAACATCGAAGCCGAAAGTTACTGGGGTAAAATGTTTCGTCTTAAATATGATGCGGGAGAATACATGTTTCCATACATAAAAATTGTTATGTCTTTGAAACAGAAACAGAAACAGAAACTTTTTTATTCAATATAGATTATAAATAATACTTATTGAAAGTCACTCTTTTGTATATATACCACTGGTTCGAAAAAAAAAACCTCTGTCCTGGGAAGAACCAGCAAGAAACCCAGCGGGACTTTTTTTTAAATAACAGCTTACAATCATGTATGTTACACAAATTAACAACACAACAAATTAGAAATAGCTTGGTAGCGATCACCTCATTTCCAGGGGTTATTATTATCTATAAATTCTTTAATATTATAATAACCTTTTTATACAAACTTAGTTTAATAAAGTTTTTGAACTTTGAGCAGGTCAAATTTTGTATATTTTCTGGAATTTTGTTGTAAAAGCGTATACATCGCCCCAAGAATGAATTACTGACTCGATGGAGTCGAGTAACTTTGTTGCTCATACTGCCATTTTCAAACGCATCGGTTGAAAGAAAATTTAGTGCGCTTCGATATTTAAAAACAGAAAACCGCAATCGGCTAAATACAGATACTGTAGTATCTTTAATGGCAACAAGAGAGAGGATAAAAAAATTGGGCCTCAGTGTGAAGTTTAATAATCCTTCGAGCAAAATACTTACATCAAACGTATGAAAAAGTTTAAAAAATAAATATTATTTAAATAGCTAAAACTTGTTTCATTGTTTAAAATAATATTGTGGGGAATTTGTGGGGAAACAGCAGATTTTTGTCCCCAAATTTGGGGAATTTTATTCGGATTTTTGGGGAATTACATACATTGGCATTGGCAACCCTGCTCACTGCATTTCATATGGTCAAAGATTTTTGCGCAAAGATTACCAGCCGTGGTCCTTATGCCTCATCCACACGCTTGGCAAACAACGGCAAACAGCATAAACCAAACAGCAATCACGAATGTGTGGATGGGTGTTTGCCTGTTTGTTTGTTTGTTTTATGCGATTGCCAGTGATTGGCGTTGGTGTCGGTTTTTGTGCACCGATCAAAGGCTGTTCGACAAACGTGTTTGCGATGTATCCACACGTTTGGCAATCAGTCAGTAGTACGCGCGAGCTTGCGGCTTGCGGGCGGCGGAAGGAGTTACTAGTGGCTATTATTATTATACTCTACGCTAATCACAGAGTACTTTTATATATACTGAAAACGCCAATGCTACTAATCCGAAATTTGTCTCGGAGGTAAATATGATTTCAGAAGCTGAGTTTCCTACAAATTCTACTTCTAAAAGTTAGTAGATCTACCACCTATATTTTTTTAAGTTTTCTAGAGACCTCCCAATAATAATGTGATTGACTCCTAATTAATGCTTCTATTGGCTAACAAATATTTCACCTCTTTTTATAAGAAGCCCCGTGTGAAAGCAGGATCATTAATCATCAATTCCCAAAATAAAATCCGAAACAATTATATAAGATTAGTATATCCTATATATCGATAAGTTTAGTATATCCTGATTTAATAGTTTTTAGACTTTCGTAGTTACACAACAAGGAACCCTTATGATCAGACCCTAGCACAATTATAAATATTAATCACGCCTAGAAAACTGAAATAAAATCTTAAAAACATTTTTATTTTGGGTACTTCCCATACAAGTAAATGGAGGATGGATTTTTTACGTGTCTATTCTATCATGTGGGGTATCGTTGGATAGGTCTTTCAAAAACATTGTGGGTGTTGAACAACATCTTTTCGATTCAGGGGTCATGGGGGGTGAAATATTTAGCTTTAAAGTGCTATTTTTCATTAGAGTCATGTGTCCACCCCCCTCTCTATCAACTTAACAGATGTTTATCGAAATTTATATATAAATATATAATGCAGTTAAAAGGAAAACTATCACAGCTAAGTAGAATCAAGAAGTTAACGAGTAATCGTTGACCAACTTATAAAATACACTTGGATTAGTAAAAATTTCGTTACATTTTCATAGAAAAAAAACTAGCTGCATTAATAACTTTGTAATGTTATTGTAAGCTGTTTAAAAATAAACATTTAATGAAGAAAATGACTCGTATGCATTACTAGTATTAGTGTTGGCGACGCGCTTAAAAAAAGTATATCATTTTCATTCCATAAAAATAAACAATTGTGCGTTTTGAAAATATTGGTATTAAATTGTATAAGGCGCTTCGAATAAAGAGATAATCTATGTTAAAAGTAAATAGATTCAATATAATGTCGAACGAAAGTTCGGGGTTCGATTCCCCGGTCGAGCATTAATTTCATAAAAGTTTGTTTTTAGATTAATTTAGAGTCACGTGTTACATTATAATCAGCTATGCAATACGAATAAAAGCGTTCAAACTAAACTTATTTGAACCTGAAGACAATTTATAGCAATGATAATTGAGAATTCATTTGAGATTCTATGGTGTGTAAAATCTTCAATACAATAACCTTGAGAGCAATTCATATTGCCTTATTTTTAAATAAAAATAGGTCAACCCGAAAGTAATCGCTGTCACAAGCTCGTCGTCCGTCATGTTTGCCTATCCGGAATATACTAGCACGTTCGCCGAGCGTGTGGATGCCGTGTTTGTGTTGGGTGAATGTGGTCGTTGTTTGTTCGTGTATGGTGTTTGTGGCAAACACCAAGCATGTGGAGGCGGCATTAGATGTGAATACGCTTCGACAAAGTTTGTTGCGGGTACCCATGGGCAGTAGTAGACATTTAGGTGGACTGTTAGATCAGCTTTCACATGAGAGATTTCACATGCTTAAATGTCTAGGTAGCTTATTGGGTTGTGTCGAGGCATTATTTGTTGATACTTTTTCTTCTATCAATATGTGTTTTGTAACTTGGAGATCAGTATGGATTATAAATTTGAAGTTTATTTCTCAGGTAACATTAATGTAGTAGACGCGTTTAAAAAATACTTTAACATTTCCAAAAAAAATCCTTACCCTCTTTATTTGCCGCTTAGCCAGTAGCAATTATATAAGTACATGCAACACAAAAAACGCATTAGCTTAGAGGCTAGGTGCGTAGGTGCTCGGTAAATTTTACAGTGCCTACACTCGCATCTGGATTAGATCCAACCAATCAAAGCGCAAGTATTTGTGAATATTCAGATCAATTTAGCATAGCAAAATTCAGAATAATTTAAAGTTTATCGTAGTTACAGTGAATCTATTAATAATTTAATTTATTTTCTTTATTACATATTATTTTAAGTACAGTTTGGGAATTTCTTTATTAGTTAGACAGTGTAGTTGCTGATTAAAAAGCAGTGACTATACTATATTATATATGTATATTATACACTATGTCACTGATATTTTATATAAATAATAAAATATCAGTGACATACGTCTCTAATATAACATTAGAGACGGTTAAGGAAATAAAACATTAGCTTTGCCATATCTAGTGAACTATGCACAAATAATCACTAATTTCGCCTGAGTCATAAAATTTTGGGCTCTTTATTTCACATAAAACTAGAAGACCGCAACCGG